ACTCTACGGAGCACAGTTCTACTTTGTAACACATGGGATCTCCATGAGTCAGAATTCACTCGATGGCAACGGGTTTGGTTGTTTTTGGTTTGAGGATAGAAACACGAGAGAAAATAAAATCGGATAAACCTAGGTCTAACTTGGGTAGTGCAAATGGTTAATGCACTTGTCTGCTAACTGAAAGGTTGGTGGTTCAAGTCTATCCAGAAGTATCTTGGAAGAAAGGCCTGGCAATCTACTTCCAAAAAATCAGGTTTTGAAAACTCTGTGGAGCACAGCTCTACTCTGACACACATGGGGTCACCATGAGTCAGAATCGGCTTGATGGCTACTGGCTTTTTTCTCTCTTCACAACACAAATCACATTTTCTACCTCACTCCTATTCATTTCGCAAGTTATTTATTAAGGGTCTACTTTGCACCCAGCGCTGTTCTAGGTGCTGGGACACTCCACGAACAAGCTAGATTAAAAATCCCTCTCCTAGTGGTACTTACTCTTGTGGGGCAAGGGGGGTAGATAATGAATAAATAAATGAATAAGTAGATGAAATACATAGTACATCAGACGGTGATAAGTTTTCTGTTGTTGGGTGCCATCCAGTGGATTTGAACTCAGCAATCCAATGTGACAGAGTAGAACTGCCCCATAGGGTTTTCTTGGCTATAATCTTCATGGGAGCGGGCCTTTATCCTACGGAGCCGCTGGGTGGGTTCAAACTGCCAACCTTTCAGTTGGCAGCTGAGCGCTTAACCGTTGCACCACCAGGGCCTTGATAAGTATTCTAGAGAAACCTAAAACAAGAAAAGAGGGATGGGAGGGGTGCGATTGTATATTGTGTAGTCAGGGAAGCTCTCACTGAGAAGGTAACATCTGCATAAAGGCCAGAAGGAGGAGAGAGAAGTACATTCTAGGCAGAGGGAGGCTCTTAATACCAAAATTCCAGATTTCCCCCAGAGAGGGCAGGGAGTACAGAACTCCCCAGGGCCTCAGAATGGTATTAGTATAGTGCTGAGCACACAGTAAGTGCCAAATAAAGACTTCCTGAAGGGTGATTTTTCAAACTGCCATTTCCAGAAGGGCCCAGTTGCTGATGATACAATACGGGCTGTTTGAACATTCTGTATTCAGACCTGTGGAGATACTGGCGGCCCCCCAGGCTGCCAGCTCTGGGAGCCTCCTGTAGCACACCTCATTATGAAACAGGTGAGCCTGGGCTCCCTGGGCCCTCCCTGTAATTAGGGCAGTGTCCGAGCAAGGGCTATATTTATAACCGCCAGCCATCAGAAAGCCATGGAGACAAACCCTGGGTCCCTCTGCAGCTCCTATACCAACATCTATATGCGAACTGATTACAACAATTAATTTAATAGGGATTCCGCCACACAAACAATGTATCATTCTACTAGGAAACTCTATAAATGTCAGTGGTGCAATTCATTTTTATTAATTTTCTAAAATGAAATTAGCAGTGGCGGCGGCAGCAGCAAACAGCAGTGGTATTGCCTTCTCATTCAGCAGTGTATTGGTGTCATTAATGCCTTAATACCAGGAGGCCGATTTGTATGAACTCAGCAGTTAACTGCACCAATTAATTTCAATACTAGAGACTGGTAGGGGGGGATCCAAACTCAACTCAACAACTAATTTAGGAAGGTCCTTGAACAACAACAGCAACTTTTCCTCCTCCTGGGACAAGAAGCTTTCAAGTGTAAACAAGGGAGTGGATATTATAATGCTAATAAGGAAACCTTCTGTCTTTACCCTCTGCTTTAGGAAGGAAATTCACCCTTCCAAAGCCTGCAGACATTCTGGCTTCCTGAAGAGGAAGCCTCCAGCAGGCCTGGGCACTCCCTTTACAGACAAGAGGAAGAGTGACACCCCCATGCATTAACACAGACCCTCAAACATGCAAAGCAGGATCACAAACATAATATCATCTAATCCTCACAATGACACAATGGGGATAGGGTCAACATCAACTCCATGTATACATGAAGAAATGAGTGGAGGCTTTTAAAGGGCCACCACCCGTTGGTCAGTTTGTCCCACTGGTGGCTTGTGTGTTGTTAGGATGCAGAAAGCTATGCCATCAGTATTTCAAATAATAGTAAGGGTCACCCATGGTGGATAGGTCTCATCGGAGCTTCTAGACAAAGACAAAACTAGGAAGAAGGGCCCAGTGATCTACTTCTGAAAATCAGCCAATGAAAACCCAATGGATCACAACAGAATGTTGTCCAGTATAGTGCTGGGAGATGAGCCCCCTAGGTTTGAAGGCACTCAAAGTACACAATAGCCACAACAATCAACTCAAACATGCTAATAATCATGAAGATGGTGCAGGACAGGGCAACATTCTGTTCTGTTTATACACAAGGTCACCACATGTCGGAGCCAACTCAACAGCAACTAACAACAACAACAAAGTGATCTTCTTAAAGTCACAAACCTACTTAGTGACAGATCCAGGGCTCAGACTCACATCTGTCAATATCCGAAGCCCACATTCCTTCTCTTCTGCCACCCAGGCCCCTTGTGCCTCAGGATGGGACAGTTCTTGGTCCTATTTATACTTCAAAAAGTCAAGCATGACCATGAGTGACGTTCACTTCTCAACTGACACCCAAATTCCTAAAGCTGAAACATGAGGTAAAATTCCCACCTTGAAATGTTCTACTGTTCTGTACTCTAAGAGTGGCAGAGGTAAAGCAAGTGTCTGCACATCAAAAATCAGGTGTCTGGCCCAGTACATATCAGAGTGAATCTCACTCTCTGGCTACAGAGAAGCTCTTTTCCTTCCAATTCCATTTCAGGAGTGTTTCACCAAGGACTGAAGTGCACATAAAGAGTCTGGAGGCTGCTTGAGATGAGAGCCATCCTTGGATGTCAGGAAATAGCGGAAAAGCAAAAATCAGACAAGCCTCCTTCTCCCCAAACAAACTAGAGAAGTAGTTCTTCAAGTGAGGACCCCGGCCAGGAGCACTGCACTATCTGGGAACTTGTTAAAAATAATAAATTCCCAGGCTCCACCCCAGACCTACAGGATCCGAAACTCTGGGGGTAGGGTCCAACAATCTGTGTTTTAACACACCCTCCAGGGAATTCTCATGCACTCTCAAGTTAGAGAACCACTGCCCTAGAAAAAGATGCCCTCGGAAGAAAGTAGAGGTAAGTGTACCAGGCTTTCCACAGTTTGTGAAACGGTTGTACTCACCAAATGGTAGATTGTATTACCATTCACACTCCACTCCCAACCCTCTCTCTACCACTCTATGGACTTGCACATGGGGCTTGCTTTGGCCGATGGAATGTGAGCAGGTGTGACATATGATGCCACATCCAAGCAGGGGTTTTAATTACACCTCTAAGGATTGCCTTGAATTTGTAAGCCCCTTCCCTTCTCCATGAGAACCAGGTGCCCCAGATAGCGGTGGCTCCTTCAGCCTGGGTCCTAGAACAAAAAGACACATAGAGCAGCCCTAAGACCAACCCAAAGCCACAGTGAACCCACAGACCCGTGAGCAGGAAATAAAAGTTTGTTGTTACAACTCACTACATTTTTGGGATTGTTTCCTACATAGCATTATCACAGCAAAAGCTGACTGACATAGAATTTAATTTGATAGCAAAGGAAACCATGGCCCCACAAGGTTGAGGAGTTGAGGACATCCTGTAGAGAGTTCTCTTCCAGGTCTTGGACTAAACGGTAAACAAATCAGAGCCAAACTATGTATCTCCAAAACCTTGGTGTCTCCAAAAAAGGAGAAGAAAACCTTCCTTTTTCTGAGAGGAAGAAATGGGGAATGGAAATCTCAGTAACTAATCTCCCTTTCCCCAGTATTCTCCAACCTCCTCCAAAATGGAAAATTTTGTTTCCTCAAAAGGATGTTAACCAGTAAAAACCTAAGCCTAACCAAGTGATATTTAAAACACCTTCTAGAATGAGTAAACATTCTAGAGGACAAGGCCCTCTTTCATCCATGGCTCAGAAATGATGAGCAGGACAAGGTAATTAATGGACAAAGGGGCAGAGGAACACCTCTACCCCTTTCCTTGGTCCCACTTAACAAACCCAAAGACTTTGGTGCTTCTGACCAAAGCAAAACAAACTGGGCATTTCACCTCTTCAATTCAAACCCACAGACCAAGCATCCTGTAAGTCGTGCTGACTAATGCCCTTCAAACTAACAAACACCTGGCCCTGTCACCACTCATAGAAAAGTCACATCAATTGGAAGAAAGTGGCCACATATTTCCAAGGCTCTAGAATGTAACATACCAAAAATAAAAATGTAAGAGTTGGGGAGTAAAGAAGAGGCTACCTTTAAAATAAACCCTAAATCCCAACGTCATGATTCTTAATGAAATAATAACATCAGTTACACCAGCAGAACACAAGTTGGCTATATTTCAGCCTATTTCCTCTATTCCCAAGTGGTGAGAGAAGTTAATTGTTTGTGGCAGTTTGTAGATTCAAGGATGTTTACTGCATAACAAACTGCAAGCTCACCCATTGTTTCTGATTGGGGCAATCTTCTTACCACCAATCAAGAATAACTTGGCCTTCTGTTTATAAAACATATTGAGACAGAAGTGGGCAGTTACACTAGTTTCCCTTTTAAAAAAAAAAAAAAAAATGTTTCTAGAAAATACTGATGGTAGGTGGGCACTTCCCAAGATAAACACCCACTGACCTTCCCGCCTGCCAAGCTCCCAAGCACCTGGCTGAAGGATTCACTGTTCTACCACCAAGCTAAAAGTTCCATGAGTTAAACCACAAAGCTAAAACTTGCATGATTGCAGTGGCATTGCCTTTAATCCATCCAATCCATTCAAAGCCACAGCCTTGGGTCAATTAAAAAGACCTCAGTGTCACCAGCTATCAAGCACAACATGGCATTTTCAACTTGTTGCCCATGCACCGGCTGGCCCAAACAGGAAATCAATGGAAATCAATCGACCGTTCATATTTGAAAAACTGCAAGATCTGGGACATTACCTTGTCTTAGGGGATGTGGTTAGCCATTCTTCGTGTTTCTCAAATGTTATTAAATAAGCTGCAATTTCCTGAAACAGAAGAATAAAAAGATAATAGCAACAATTAGCCCACGTTGGATCCTGAGAGGCAAGAAAGTTTTTGTTGTTTCCCAGCTGCCATCCTCCTTCACAGGGCTGGTGTTCCAGCTCTGCTGACAAACACTCAATTTGGACTCTGTTTCTATTTTGATTTTTTACATCCTTTCCATTCAACCTGCCATACAATAACAATCAAAGCCTTGGGTTTCAAAAGGTATGTCTGTGGCAAGGACAAAAACATTTCTCTGTGGGAGGAAAACATCAGACACCATCTCAGATTCTAAATGTCATTAATCTGAGGAAGGGAAAAACACATGCCAACAACAGGTCTCCACTTAGACAAGGTCGTAATTGGAAATTTGGGTCTGTCTTCTTCTGAAGCTGGACAAATCTTTCATCGTTTTCACAAGAGATGTCACATTCTCTCAGCTTGATTTCCAACCCCCAGAGCCAAATCACACGAAGATTAAAAAGAAAAGATAAAGTCATATTCCAAAAAGAGAGAGAAACTGAGAAATAAGTTAACCTTTTCCACTACTGATAACAATCTGTAGGAGCATCTCTTCGGAAAGAAGAACAATGTCAGCAGAGTTTAAGGTAAAGATGGGGAAAATATGGGCGCCTGAAGGTAAATTAAATATTTATAAACACAACAACATCACTGCAGATAGAATTACTGATTTATTAATAATTTCCACAAAAAGCCAGTGGGTGACATCAACATAAGTCATTGCTCCAGCTCTGAGGCATGATATGGCCCATTACTTCCAGCTCCAAGCGGATCTGTTAACATGAAATTGGCAGGGATTGTAGGTTAAATTAAGGTTGGGCTAGTACACATGTCCCTTGATCTTGGTGATGACACAACACGGAGCTGTTGCCCTTGACTCTCAGGAAAATGCAGAGATGAGGCCTCGGTCTCACCTCTATCCACAGCCAGGTTCCTAGACGGCTCCTTGGAATGGAATCAGTCCAGTGCCCAGAGGCTCACAGCCCTCCTCTGATGTCAGCCATTTCTGTGCTTGGACATCATGGAGTTGACCCCTGTGTCCAGATGTTAAATTTGACTTCAAGGAAAAGGAAGAGACTACCACCCAAACCTGGCAAGTAGAGCAGGTTAAAGTAAGAAATACCACATATGCCATGTGGTAAGAAGGCCACAAGCATGGAGATCAGGTTCTTGCACAACCATGGAAATTGGCCACTAGCACGAGGTAGCCAGTGACTGGTAACTAACATAGCCCAAGCCACCTCCTTCCAGAAGCCTGGACACTTTGCCAAGAGCCTGGAAAGCAGAAACCTAAGGCAAAAATAGAGTTGGCTGTGGTCAGGTTCCTATTGCTGATTGCAGCTAAAGAAACTAGAAGTTCATCAATCAGCACATTGCTCCCTCTCATCCGTGGGGTTCTTCATGTTCTGGTTCCTCTCCTTAGAAAACTCCTTCCCTAAGCTCTGCTAACCAAGAGCTCAGAGATCCAGCTTATCTTTTCATTTTTAAATTCTGGTGAAAATATACAGTCATACACCATTTCAACAATTTCTCCATGTACTAGTTGACATCGATCACATTCTTCAAGTTGTGCAAACATTCTCATCATCCTTCTCCAAATTGTTCTACCACCATTGGCTTAGACTCACTGCCCGCTAAGCTTCTCATCTAATCTGCTTTTAACAGTGGAGGAAACTGAGGCCCAGAGAAGAAAATTACTTTCCCAAGGTCAGTGTGTTTGTAGCTGAACCAAACTGGGACCTAGAGCTCCTAACTCACAGGGCCTGTGCATTCTTTGCTACTCTCTTGCTACCTCTCAAACTCAGGTCTAGCACAGAAGACTCAGAATGCTGAAGCAAGGACTGACTGTGGACATCCAGCGGGTATGGTGCTGGGATGAAAAAAATGCACCCCCTCCCCCACCACACACACACACACACACACACACACACACACACAGATCCTGAACCCAAAGGGCTGCACTCTCACAGCTGCAGCCTTTCTCCAGTGTCCTGGCTCCCTGAGGCCCCTCTCTTCCTGGATCCTAAATACTGCATCAGTACTGAGAAGGACAACACAACTGTCAAGATGAAGGAATTCACTGCAGGCTCCAAAGCAAAGAGTGTCCAGCTTGCAGATTTTAAATGTTTAGTTTGTCCTCTGGATGTTCAAATAGAAAAACTGCTGCCAAGGTACAACGTCTGTGTGTGGCATAGGCTCAGAGAACAAGCTGCAGTGGAATCCCACAGATCACTCTGTGGGCTGCTTGGCAGCAGGTTTCATCTTGCAGACCAGGAAGGCAGGTGGGTCCTACCCCAGGCACTAGTCAGGCCACATCAGGAAGGGCAAGCGGGCAGCACAATTCCTGCTCTTGGCACTGCTGACCCCTTGCACACCACCACGTGCTGGTCATGTCCACAGATCAGAGGGACGCAGTCACTCACCATACACTTGCCAGTCAAGCTGGGCCTCTCCGCCCCCAGGCTGATGAGCTCTGGAGGAAAACTACAATGCTCATCTCAGGGATGAGTCAGCTGTGGGCCAGCCAGGTCCAGAGGTCACTGCAGAGGCCACCTCCCTACTGTTGGTGAGACGGCTCCTCTAGCCCCTTCCCACCTCAGCACACGCGCTCTAACTCTGTCCACCTGTCAGGCCCTGTCCATCGCCCACCTCTGGGCTGTCTTCTCTGTCATCTGACCTCAGAGCAAACTGGAGCCTCTGGAACCTTCTCAGCAATGGCCACATGTTATGGATTGACTTGTGTTCCACCAAAATATGTGTTGGAATCCTAACTCCTACATACCCCTACCTAATTCCTCCTTTGGGATATAATCTCACTTGAAAACAGAGTTTTCTTTGTTATGTTAAAAGGCCATATAGTGTACGCTGTGTCTCAAATCTAACCACTTTTGAGATATAAACGTAACAGTAATCTGTGTCTTTAAGGAGCGCCGGTGGCAAAGTGGTTAAGAGCTAGGCTGCTAACTGAAATGTCAGCAGTTCAAACCCACATGTTTCTCCATGGGAGATGTGCCAGTCTGCTTCTGTAAAGACCACAGCCTTGGAAATCCTATACGGCAGTTCTATTCTGTCCTACAGGGTCACTATGAGTTGGAATTAACTCGACAGCAACGGGTTTGGTGTTGTTTTTTGTGAGGAGGAGGGGGGTAGGTTAATCTGTGTCTAATGACACAGAGACAAGCAAGCACAAATGAAGAAGACAGATGCCACATAGGGATTGACAAGGAACCCCAGGGCTACAGAAACTGAAATAGACACAGAAGGACCTTCCCCTAAAGCCATGCCCTGAATTTGGACTTTTACCATCCTAAACTTTAAATTTCTGTTCTTTAAAGCCACTCACTGGTGGTATTTCTGTTACAGCAGTGCTAGCAAACTAAGACACCACACCATTCTAGACTTCTAACACACAGTGCTTTCTGCTACATGTTTATACGGTGATGGTTCTCCCTTGCTGGTTTTGCAGGGCTGAGGGATGGTCCGAGGATCAGTCTCCACAACACTGCAATGCCCAGGCTGTGTCTTGTATCTGAAGACGATTGTTGACACAGTGGAGGGTTGAACAAATGAAGGCAAAGTTCTCTTCTAAAGGATGCAAGCAGATCCCACTTTGTTGAGTGGCATCTGGGGTCTTAAAAGCTAGTGAATGGCCACCTAAGATGCATCAATTGCTCCCAACCCACCTGGAGCAAAGGAAAATGAAGAACACCAAAGACACAAGGAAAGTAGTAGCCCAAGAGATAGAAAGGGCCACATAAACCAGAGACTTCATCAGCCTGAGACCAGAAGAACTAGACGGTGCCCATCTACCACCAATGACTGCCCTGTCAGGGAACACAACAGAGTCCCTGACGGAGCAGGAGAAAAGCAGGGTGTAGAATTCAAATTCTAGTAAAAAGACCAGACTTAATGGTTTGATTGAGACTGGAGGGACCCCGGAAGACATGGCCCCCGGACTCTCTGTTAGTCCAAAACTAAAACCATTCCCGAGGCCAACTCTTCAGGCATAGACTGGACTATGCGACATAAAATGATACTCGTGAAAAGTATCTTAGCTTCTTAGCTCAAGGAGATATATGAGACTAAATGGGCAGCTCCTGTCCAGAAGTGAGATAAGAAGGCAGAGAGGGTCAGGAGCTGGTTGAATGGACACAAGAAATCCAGGGTGGAAAGGAGAAATGTGCTGTCACAGTATAGGAATAGCAACTAGGGTCACATAACAACATATGTATAAATTTTTGTAGGAGAGATTAACTTGAATTGTAAACTTTCACTTAAAGTACAACAACAACAACAAAAAGGATGCAAGAAGAAAGAGCCCCACCTGAGCACCCCCTTATACAGGTATGGAGAGGGGAGGGCAGTGGACAGACAAAGGTATAGATGCCATTAAGGCTCGACACTTTATGTGAAAGGTGCCATGGAAATGTCCTGCTAACTGCTCCTCTTTCAGATCTGCCAATCCGTGAACCAACAGAGCCATCCAACAGAAAGATGGCGTGAGCTACAAATGCCAGCTGTGAGTGTAATTTTAAATTTTCCAGCAGTCACATTTTTTAAAAGTACAAAGAACTAAGAAATGAATTTGAAGAAATTAACTTTAGTAATGTTGTTGCTGTTAAGTGCCATTGAGTCAGTTCCAACTCATAGCAACCATGTGTACAACAGAACAAAACACTGCCCAGTCCTGTGCCATCCTCACAATCATTGCTGCTTGAGCCCATTGTTACAGCTACTGTGTTAATCCATCTCTTTGAGGGTCTTCCTCTTTCTCACTGACCCTCTACTTTACCAAGCATGATGTCCATTTCTGGGACTAGTCCCTCCTGAAAACACGTCCAAAGTACGTGAGATGATGTCTTGTCATCCTCGCTTCTAAGGAGCACGCTGGCTGTGCTTCTTTCTTCCAAGACAGATTTGCTAGTTCTTCTGGCAGTCCATGGTATATTCAAGACTCTTCACCAACATCATAATTCGAAGG